GGGCGGGGCGGCGGCGGCGGCGGCGGCGGCGGCGGCGGCGGCCCAGGGGCCGAGGCTCTTGCGGAGTTCAAAAGACACAAGGTCTGCGGGCAGGCGGCCTCTGTGGTCTTGGATTTCGAAGGAGGCCCCCGCGCGCAGCAGCAGCGCGGCGGCGGAGAGGTGGCCGAGGTACAGGGCCTTGTGTAGGGGGGTCCTGGGAAAAGCGCGGCAACCGCCAGAGTGGGTGGTGGCAGGTTCAGGCGGCCCCGGGTCAAAACCCAGCAGACTACCGGCTGAAAACGGCAGGCCCAGGGTGCGGCAAGGGGTCGCCCGCAGGCGAGCCGCGGCGGCCAAGCCGCTCGCGGTAGCTCTGAGCGGCGGCCCGCGCGCTCCCGCCCCGCGGCTGCGCGCGCCGGCCGCGGGGGCGGAAGTTGGTGCGCCACTCCCGCGCACCAGCCAGATTCGCCGTCGACCGCATCAGGGTTGGCGCCTGCCTCCAGCAGCAAGTGCACGCCCGTGAGGTTATTCAGGTGCACCTGCTCGGGACAGGGCAAAGCATGCACAGCACGTGGGCGCATGGGGGCGCATGGCGCTGCCCGCATGGGCGGCGGCGTGCGTGGGGCATGCGATGGGGCGGCCTGCGGCTTGCGCCCGTCGCAACGCTGGTTAAGGTGCGCCGGCCACAACTGCGATAGGCGCTGTCTAGGAGACGAGTGGGTCAAGTCCGCACAGGCGGTGCCCGGGTCACAGCGGGAGCAGCAGCGGCGCCGCTCACCGCAACGTGCAGTGGGTACGTGTCGAGAGCGTTCGGCCTGCGGCGGTGCGGGGCATGTGTGCAAGTGCATGTGAAAGGAGGCAACGAAGCTGCTGCATTGCATGCCCCGTACAGCCGGTTCACGGAAGGGCCGCAATTGGGCTAGTGTCCAATCCTGCACCACTGCAGCGGCGCGCGCCGGGGACACACTTGTTGATGCCGCTGCCCGATGCTGCTATGGCCGCATCCAGACCAAGACTCCCGCCGTGCAGGGCCTGGATGATGACATCCGCCATGTTATCGTCCGCAGGCCCTGCCGTGTGCGTCTAAGAGTGCGCAGGGCACCGAATATCAACGTGATCTCGAGTCCATCCTGCCAAAACAACAAGGCCGTGGTACCTGGATTGAATTGGATACCTGGCATTAAACGTTTACCACACAGAAGCGCAGGAGCCAGTTCGTGGCGCCGTCCACGCGTGCACGCGGCGACCAGGTGGTCCAACAGGCTGAGGCGAAACCGCCCCCTCAGCGACCTGCCGAGCAGGCGGCGTGCAGCGCACGGCACGCGCACAAGGGCCTGGCTGTTGAAGGCAAGCCTTTTCAATCATTCCTGCCTCACATACCAGCATTCAGCTTTGATCGCCAGCAGGGTCCCCTCACCCCTGCCCCTCTGTCGCGCTAGGGTCAACATACTTGGTGCAGGGAAATCCATGCATCTGCGACCCAACCTAGAGTTCTTGGTAGGAAAAACAGCCAAGGGCAGGCCATCTCCTGACTGTGACACTTTTCACCTCCTCATGCACTTGGAGCCGCGGTGCAAATCAGCGTCCTTGTTTCTAGATTACACTCGACGCACTGAGAAACTACCCACCGCACAGCGTGTTTATGTGAGCCACTGTACGCCGCGGACGGTTCTGTGCATCACCAACAAAAATTGGTGGCCGCAATGGGGGCCGGCGATGATGGGTTTGAGCGGTCAACTCGGCAGCAAACTCTGCCAGACTCATGCCGGAAGCTGCCTCGTGCTGACGCGTGAGCAGGGGCAGAATGAACCGCAACACGCCCCCATGAAAAACGGTATGTGACCCAACAAGGATAACATGAGGAGGAGCGAGGCGGGCGTGACAAGTCAGGAGGCGGGCCGCTGCTGTGTGCGCTGGGCTGCAGAGCCTGGGGAGCAAGAGATCAATTGAAGTCAATTCGGAGCGGGGACATTGGCCATTAGAACCAGGGTATGTGTGCCTCTGCCGGCCCTGGTCTGGCATGCTGCTGGGCACCAAGCAAGGCACCTGTGTGTGTGTGTAGGGCCGAGCAGTCTGCCACGGCCAGGCCCCGGCCCCGCCAAGGCCGGCTGTGCCCTCAAACCAACAGCGGCCGCAGGCCGGCGGTCGAGCAGGCACCCCGGGAAGCCACTCAGTAGTCGGTGTCGTCGCCGCCGGGCGGGTCCCTGAACTGAATTGTGACGTCAGCAGGGCTGCTGGTAGCGGTCTGCTTGCGCCCCGCCGCGTCGAAATAGTCGAAACCGATAGAGTACTGGAACGAAACCTCGGTGACGTCATCCGGCAAACCGCCCCTGGGAGGGTACCAGATAATCTGCGTAAAAGGGGTGGGGCCGGCAGCGCCATGCTTTGGGCAAGCAACAGCGGGGCGGCTGGTGCAGGGAGAGCCGGGTTCTGCGGGCTGCCAGGCCCGCGCAAGTGAGGGGGGAGGGCCGGCGTTTCGAGACGCCCGCGCCCCGCGCCGGCCCCCGCCGCGTTTGCCAACGCAAACTTGATGTTTCAGCCGTCGCCAGTGGTCCACGGGGGCTCCTCGCGTGGCGGCAGGCAACGCACGCCGCACCGCGCTGCACGGGCGCCCCGCAGGAGGGCGCGGCCGTCACCTTGTTTTTGTTGCGGTTCAGGCGCCCCGCCTGCGCGTTGTCGAGCTTCCCTATAAAGTTGATCTGCCCGGTGACGCACAGCTGGTCGTTCGCGGTGATAATCATTACGTAGGGCTTGGTGCGGGGCACGTCCGTGTAGGTGTCCGATATCGCGTTTGGCCAGTTCTCGATGTCCTGGGCGCCACTGGCCAGCTGGTCTTGGACTGCGGGGGCGGTTGGAGGGGTTTAGGGTGGGGGTGTTGGTGGGGGTGTTCAGGCGAGACAGGTGGTTTGGGGAAGGGGTGGTTGGAGGCGGTGTTGGTAGGGTGGACGACGCTACAG